GACTAACTAGCTTTATCAAGCGTGCATCTATCCAGGTGAAATCGGATGTAGATGAAAAAAAACTTTTGCAGCTCAATGTATATGTTGCACTTGAATTTAGCTGCCTTGAAAATAATACATAATTTGGATGAAGTTCAAGATTTTTACAAAATTGGTAGTTGAAGTTAGCAACGTCCATTGGCCAATATTACAGGATAAAAAGGACGATGCTGTGTACTAAAATATTCTTTATCTTTCCTGTATCTTTTCTCATCTTTTTCGTTAAGACCATCAGGTTCTAAAGTGTGGAGTTGGTGGATCCAAAAATTTTCTCTTCTCCTTCTCGCCGTGGTGTCCCACTCGGTGTTGACTTCTATGATTTGGAAAGTAACATTATCAAAAGAATGTTTCGTTGAACGAAGATGTCATGTGAGAGGACAGTTTCTGTTGGTTTTGTTCCATGAACGATGGTTATTGAGCCGAATATTAAACATGGATAGCGCACTGCATTTCAAGAAATTAAGATCTTTAACCAAAAAGAAACTACAAACTGAACATAATTTATCAAACTTAGAAAATATATTCAAAGTAGAACTGTACCAAAAGGTTTAAACATCAAAGTGAGTCCCCAGGCACCGGGACATAAATCCAAAAGATTCATGAGCCGTTGGAATGAATTTCTGTTTAACTGTTCAATCCAGCTACTTCAACTGTTACTTTCTTTTACAACCACAAATTACAAACAAATTGTAAATGAAATATCAGATATCATCAACAATAGTAACATTTCACGTGACGATTTACCAATAATTAAACGTCGCCTCGCAGATATCGAAAAAATTGAACTATCCAAACATAAAGAAAAACAAAGGAATAAATTTCAAAGAGATGAAATTCACACTGTCTATTTAAATCAGGATATGAATGATAGCAATACAACAAACCATAAGGTCCATAGAAAAAGAAAATTAAAAGGACGGAAACAAAAAACTGAAAGCATTGTTGTAAATTTGTCATCTAAAGAACTTACACTTGCTGAAGAATCTCTTTTAAGTAAAGGTTTAAACTTCTGTCCTATCCCATCAAATGTAAATAACTTTCAGCTAGACGAGGACTTAGACCAATTCGCTAGACGTTTACGCTTTAAAGATTTTTTCTACAATAGGGGCAAGAAAAACCTTGAAGAAGCTTGATTAACAGATTCAGATACTGACACCAATGAAGAAGTCACCCCCATCCCAAAATTTAAGACAAAAAGTTCATGGAAACCACCTAAGAGTAAAAATGATAACTTCGAGTCATTCATTAACTACGTGAGGTCTGATATAAAGTCCTGTATAACAAATACAAGAAATTATAATTCATCCAAGTCAGAAAGCATTGCTTTGAAAGCGTTAAAAGATCAAGAGGATATCGTAATAAAACCTGCCGACAAAGCGGGCGCTGTGGTTGTCATGAATAAAACAGATTACATAGCAGAGGGAAATCGCCAACTTTCAAACTCCATTTTTTATAAACAATTAACCACAAATCTAACACTAAATACTATTCGAAGGATCAACACCATCCTTCAAGAGATGTTCGACAAAAAGCATATAGACAATGACACATTTGATTATCTCCGACCTCTTGAGAACGAAGCAAAGGCCGGAAGATTCTATATGTTGCCTAAAATACATAAAACGGGCAATCCAGGTCGACCAATTGTTTCAGCAAATAGTCATCCAACTGAAAAGATATCAGAATTTGTAGACCATCATCTAAGACCTCAGGTGAAAGAACTACCCTCTTACATCCAAGATACGACTGATTATCTAAAGAAAATGGAAAGCCTCAATCCTCTACCAAGCAATACTATACTTGCATCCATGGACGTGTCTTCTTTATATCCCAACATTCCACAAGACGAAGGAATAGCAGCGTGTGAAGAGGTATGGAACACTCGTAGTGAAAAAAATCCTCCAACTGAGTGCCTTGTTACACTTCTGAAACTAGTGCTAGAGAACAACAACTTCTCTTTCAATGAAAAACATTATCTCCAGATAGACGGTACTAGTATAGGCACAAAAATGGCCCCGTCATATGCCAACATATTTATGGGCCAACTTGAAAACGCCTCTTGGCTAGTGCTCCATACCAGCCCTTATCATGGTTCCGATTCATTGACGATATTGATTTCAAATGGACAGATTCACACGAGGGGTGCCACATGTGGAGCAGGATCTGCTTACCCTTCCGGAGCACCTGAGATCACCCCTAGTTTTTGGTGGGGTTCGTGTTGCTTAGTCTTTAGTTTTCTATGTTGTGTCATCTGTACTATTATTTGTCTGTTTGTCTTTTTATTTTTGGCCATGACGTTGTCAGTTTGTTTTCGATCTATGAATTTGACTGTCCCTCTGGTATCTTTCGTCCCTCAATCACAAGAACATCTTAATGAATTTCTAGGACACTGTAACTCTTTCCACAATTCAATAAAATTTACATATGAATCATCTATGGAGAAAATAAACTTCCTCGACACTACGAGTTACATCAAGAACGGAACCATTATAACGGACCTTCATACCAAACAAACGGACAAATATCAATTCCTTTCTCCTAAAAGTTGCCATCTAAACACTGCTCCCGTGGCATCCCATTCAGCCAGGCATTGCGAATCAAGAGAATATGCTCTACTGAAAATACGCAAAATGCTAGACTTGGACGACTACGTAAACATCTAGTTGTTCGAGGATACAATAACAACATCATTGATAGCGCTTTCGAAAAAGCAAACAAAACTAGTTGCCAAGAACTTCTAGAGTACAAAGATAAGAATAAAGCAGCTAACAGAACACCCCTTGTACTCACTTACCATCCTGATTTTAAAAATGTGTCTTCCATTGTTCAGAAGCATTCGAAAATTATAGAAAATGATTCAAATCTTAAAAAAGTATTTTCCTCACCACCAGTCATTGCCTTCAGAAGACCTAAAAACATCCGTGATAAATTAGGGACATCTGTATTAGCAAAGCAGCCTACTCCATCTCCCGGTTGCTACAAACAATGTGATCGAAGGAACTGCTTGTGTTGTAAAGCTGCCAATACAAGCAGTTCTTTCATCAGCTCCGTTACTAAACAAAATTATACCATCTACTTAAATTTCAACTGTAAAACGGATGACTCAATTTATATATTAACATGTGACACTTGTGGCATTCAGTATGTGGGAGAAACAATGGACAAATTTAATATTCGGCTCAATAACCATCGTTCATGGTACAAAACCAACAAAAACTGTCCTCTCACAAGTCATCTTCGTTCAACGAAACATTCTTTTGATAATGTTACTTTCCAAATCATAGAAGTCAACATCGAGTGGGACACCATGGCGAGAAGGAGAAGAGAAAATTTTTGGATCCACCAACTCCACACTTTAGAACCTGATGGTCTTAACGAAAAAGATGAGAAAAGATACAGGAAAGATAAAGAATAATTTAGTACACAGCATCGTCCTTTTTATCCTGTAATATTGGCAAATGGATGTTGCTAACTTCAACTACCAATTTTGTAAAAATCTTGAACTTCATCCAAATTATGTATTATTTTCAAGGCAGCTAAATTCAAGTGCAACATATACATTGAGCTGCAAAATTTTCTTATCATCTACATCCGATTTCACCTGGATAGATGCACGCTTGATAAAGCTAGTATGTCTAGCGAAATATTGCGTTTATTTTCATCATTTTGTAAATATTTTAAACATTCTTATATTTACAAACTAAATAGTGTGTTAAAATAACTTTGTTAGGCAATCTATAATTTTATTTGTGTAATTGAATTAATCTCTGTACTGATTAATCCACACTCCCATAGATTTGTATGTCATGTGCTGCTATTTATATTTATATATATATATGTTACCAAACTTGCTTAACTCAGTATATATTTCATGTGCAAATTGTTTGGGACGGGTTACGTTTGGGTGCATCAAACAGGATATTGTGTTATTTGTTGTTGTGTATAATAGAGTACATGATGAATATATTTTGACCCCAAATTATACCTTCTACTTTTAATTTAGTTTGGCAAAATGTTTACGAATGTGGTCCAGTTTGACAATTAGATGGGTTCTCTTATATAATGTTAACAAAAACTAGAGGCTCCAAGGATCTTGTATTCCTCACTTGTCAATTTTGTATTAAATTGTTAAATGTAACGAGATTATCTCAAGCAGTTTCCAGAAGAAAAAAACCACAAAAAAATGTAACATCATTCTCAAAGGGCTATATATTCATTAAGACTGATGATTTCAAAACTGATTTGTAGGTCATGTCTTAATGACCTTTTGTTTTGCAATACAGTTTCCGCGCTATCTACAATAGTTCTACAGGTAATAAATAGCCACTGTTGCACAAAAAGTGGTCACGATCGTTTAAAAACACAAACTCATATAAAATTTCATCTGACAGTTTTGGTTTAATTGAATGGAAAGTGCTTAACATTCTAAACATTTCTGTCCTTGTCACATTTTCTCTTTCTTTAATGGTTTACAATTGACAGAAATCACCCTTATGCAAGTGCAAGCATATATGTACATGTATAGGAGTTTGATTGATTTTCGAACATTCAAATACGAAATAAAAGATGAATATTGGTCTATTTTATAGGTTTTTTATATCAACTCAATTTTCAAACAGTTACAGACTTTGCATACAGATGTTTGCAACCCAAAATAGGTTAACAGATGTATTAATATTCATTTGCATATGGTCGATTTCTATCCGACGCAGCTCATATAATAGACAAAAATGCATTTTCCCTTATGATATTTTCTTATCCTTAACAGCTATGTTTGTCGACAGATTGGATCATTTGACATATCTTTTAAACTAAAAAAAAAACGTATGGATGCCTGTGGCCAAGTTTGGTTCCATTTTCTTGTAGTTTCAGAGAAAGAATGAGATTTTTTAAAAGTTAATGGAAATGAAAGACAATTCCTTCAATTATGAAAAGCGAAAAAAGACCAAAACTATACATACCTTTACGGTTTCTAAAACTTTGCTCATTTTCTCTTTACTTTCATACATATCAAGTTTGTCCAGAAGATTAACTATTGAACCCATTTTAAGCCTTTTGATTGAGAACTTTTCCATAAAAGCATTAGCTTTTTTCAAAAGCATATTCAAAGGATCTAAAAAAAAATGCATTCATATAAATTAATCTAAAATATTAAAAAAACATATATATAATTTGCAAATGCACTAATTTAAAACTTTCAGTAAAATGTTGCTGGTTTACACCGCTACAGAAACAGGTTCTCAAATACCGGTTACTACAATATCTTCAAATTTAGCTTAGAGAACAGCTATCTGAAAATTATTCCGTCACTTTGATGAAAGTTGTTGAAGTGAATTTTTGTTGTTGAAAGTTTACAGAGTGGCAAAACTCTCAAGCATATTTTTTGTTTACATTACGCAAAAAAAGACTTTTTATTAATTTTTATTCAATCATTCAACTTTTATGTTGTTACGTTTTTTTGGAAGCCATGGTTCAAAGGAGGCATCCGAAATTACTATTTGTATTTTATCTGTATCAATCAATAACATAAAAAAATTACATTTATGTGCCAAATTTATGCAGTGACAGTGTTTGGCTATGTTTATTCAATTTGTCACTATATATTTCATATCAAACTACGTTGTGGCTTTTTTTCAAAAAAATATTGTGGGGTCATTTTGGGTTGGATTCTAACCAACTTGGAATCAAAAGAAGCAAAATTATTACAGGTGTATCTGAATATTTGGTTGTACTTTTTTTGTTTAGCGTTTTCATTTTCTGATGATATAAACACAAGTTATATTTTTTAGATGATTTAGATAATTTGCCATATAATTCAACCCAATTAAAAAGTGCAAAAATTTTATACTGGTTCACGTTAGGAGAAAAAAAAACTTAAGACAAACAATGAAAAAAAAATATATAGTTTTCTGTGTCTTTCAACACCTAGTTTTAAAAATCCAACCATAGATGCCTTCAAAATATTTTTTTTTTAAACTATGGCATGGTATTGGTTGCAAAAATTTGATATTTTTCATTTAAATGCAATATTTTTTATGCAGATGGTATAATTTTTCATTCAAATGGTATAATTTTTCATTCAAATGGTATAATTTTCGTTCAAATGCAATATTTTTTATTCAGATGGTATAATTTTTCATTCAAATGGTATAATTTTTCATTTATATGGTATAATTTTTCATTCAAATGGTATAATTTTTCATTCAAATGGTATAATTTTTCATTCGAATGGTATAATTTTCGTTCAAATGCAATATTTTTTATTCAGATGGTATAATTTTTCATTCAAATGGTATAATTTTTCATTCAGATGGTATAATTTTTCATTCAAATGGTATAATTTTTCATTCAAATGGTATAATTTTTCATTCAATTGGTATAATTTTCGTTCAAATGCAATATTTTTTATTCAATTGGTATAAAATGTCATTTAAATGCAATATTTTTTATTCAATTGGTATTGTAGTTTTTATTTATATGCAATAATTGCATTATGGGAAATTCTTTGACGTCATAAGGTCAAATTTGCAACAACGTTTGTGATTGGTCGGTAATTGTTTGGATTTCTCCCCTTTCTTTCTAAACTTGAGTGACCAAGAATTAAAAAACGCGTCAGAATATCGCCCCTCTAACTAAATTTGGCGTTCGTGCGAGTTCGTGCACTGGCTGTTAATGCCAGTAATGGGCAGGACGAGCAAAAAATGCGAGTGACAAGTAATAATAATTAATTTGACACACAACTTGTTCATGGATAGAAACAGATGCATGCGTGCATGGCAAAAACACTTCCAATGAAAACCTTTTCTGAAGAAACTCTCCAACAGTCTACACATTGAAATAAAAAAAAAAACATAGCTAGCCCCCTTCCCCCTTCTAAGTCCAGATACATGTAATCATGACGTTCTTTAGTGCTATATCATTTTTTACTTTTCTTGATCCTCAGAGACGTTGCAGGAAGGCACACATGAAAAAAGAATAAAAAGCATCCAGGACGTTACAATTATTTGGACTCGGACCCCTCTTTTTTACTACATGTAGAAAAAAAATCACCTAATTACGACAGCAGAACCAGAAACCCACAAGTAGAGACATAAGCTGTTATACTCCGGAACTAATTCTTTAATAAAGTCAATTCAGGATAAATTGGAACCATTTACTAACCCATGTTACAACAATAGTCCTATGACATAGGACTTCACTATATGAGGCGTGAACTTCATATTTAATACTATCTATAATATGTGCTTTCATGTCTTATGCTGCAAATCATTTTACATTTAGGATTCGTTGCTGAGATTTTTTTTACTGTTCTCGTCTCCGAATCCCTTAAATAGATTTTTTTCCAAGCCCCACAGTAGTTCAATAATTACTATATGTCTTTGCATAAATAAGTTTGCAGGGCATATTTCAAAACATATTTTATCTTCAGGACTTTTTAATTATTTACTTTTCAATACTGCATTGGGAAGGGGGGTATACAAGTTTATTTTGTGACACATTATACAATATAATTAGGTATCCAACAAATTATATGATTGTACGTTTAGCTATTATCTAGACCCGTACAAAATATATATAATTAGACACATTTAACAGGGGCGGATCCAAAACCTTGGTGTCTAGAGGGGGGGGTAGGTATTGGCAGCAATGGTTATGGTGTGTGAGTGAGGGTAGGGGTTTCAGATCAAAGATCGTTTCTATAATTCTATATCTTTTAGTTTTTACCATTTCACTCTATTCTCTATCCTTTGATCTCGATTATATTTGTCCTAAACATGCGTGACATATTTGCCAATGGACATAAGGCAACCAAAAGTCAATCAACGCATTCTGTATATTTCATCATTTCTTTATTATGTTATCTATAGGTTTGGTCCCGCCCCTTATCTATTTTTTTGCACATTAGGGACGACATCAAAAGTTCAATGTAGGATAAAAAAAACTTATTTCATATAGTTTTTTTCACTGACCCCCTACCCCCCCCCCTCCCCCCCCCCCCCTCTTAACTTAATTTGGAAAAAATTGATTGACCAATAACGATATATATAAAATCGATGTTTATTAAACAAAACTTGCAGCAATTTCCCCCCCCCAAAAAAAAAAATACTATTTGAATTAAGTTTTTTATCCTTCATTGATTTTCTGATGTCGTCCCTTATCCTCTCTATGTAAACCCAATTCATGTCCTGATAAATGGTGACTCATGCATAGCATCATATGTAAAATTGAGAATGGAAATGGGGAATGTGTCAAAGAGACAACAACCCGACCATAGAACAGACAACAGCAGAAGGTCACCAACAGGTCTTCAATGTAGCGAGAAATTCCCGCACCCGGAGGCGTCCTTCAGCTGGCCCCTAAACAAATATATATACTAGTTCAGTGATAATGTGGTTATTAAAACAAGAAACATATTCATATTATAATAATTAATGTATGCTAGGACTTATAGATAGATGTCATTAGTCCCAGGTCATGTAATAAAGTAGGTCTTATAAAAATACAATAGCATTTTAATTTTGATGATTATATATGTTTATATATTTAATAATGCCATTTTTTTTTTGGAAAAAAGGGTAGGGGCAAGGCGTTTTTAAAACATATCAATGGGGCGCGTTTGTGTTTTTTTTTGTTCTTCGGAAGTGAGCCAGAAGAAGTCCATTTCTGGTTTTTTTTTTGCCATTGGAAGATCTTCTGGCTCTCTTCCACCTCTTCTTTTTTGATAGGTTGACAACAGAGGCACATAACAAACATGGCGTCGTTTAGTCTAAATGAAATTAATAAATTTATGAATGCAGATATATTAGAATGTGAGCTGTTTTATAAACGTTTTTATGGTATGACAGCCTTAGTAGGACATCCCTGTAGGACGATTAGCTGGATAAATATAAGAACTACACGGACAATAACAGTTAAGGGACGATTATTTGATATTCTAGGGAAGGGATTTTTATTGATTGGTATTTAACGCTACTTTCAACACTATTGGGCTATTCCGTGGTGGTCAGTTTAAATTTATAGATGAAGGATGGGGAAGGGAAGAGAGGGCATTATTATTCATTTCAATCTGTCGCTAATCATGCCTATTTTTCAGCTCTTACCAGGCAACCATATTCATATATGAAATCCTTCTGTCCCCCACCCCAACAAATAAATAAATATCAAATGGTTTTCCTCTTATTTAACACAAGTTTAAATTGATTGATTGTTTGTTGCTAATTTTAACGCCCAGTGAAAATTATTTCATGCTTGTTCAGGAAAACACGAGTTTAGAAGTCACGTATATAATATAAAAATGGAGAGATGGAATATGATTGCTAATAAGGCAACTACATGTATCCACCGGAGTTCAAATATGAAGTGGATGTAAGCAATTATAGATAAGATAAGATAAGATAAGATAAGAAAAATTTATTTTAAGTCGGGTTACATGAAATACTACAAACATAAGCTCTGTAGAGCTTTTTGCCGTCATGTAGACAAATGCTTTTTGTAGACAATCGTAAGGCCTTCAACAATGACAAAAACCTGATACTAGTACTGTAAAGTCGTCTATAAAAGGCCCGACATGAAAAGTGTGAACAATTCAAACGAAAAAACTAACAGCCTAATTATACATCACAAAACAATTTACAAAATATCAAATATGAGTCGAGACAGGAACCAACGACAACCACTAAACTACAGGCTCCATCCCTGGGACAGGCAAATAAAGAATATGGCAGGGTGGATATAAAAACGAAGATGTGGTATGATTGCAAATGAGACAACTCTCCACAAGAGATCAAATGACACAGAAATCAACAGCTATAAGTCACCGTACGGCCTTCGACAATAAGCAAAGCCTATACCGCATAGTCAGCTATAAAAGGCCCCGAAATCAAAAATGTAAAACAATTCAATCGAGAGAACTTACGGCCGAATTAATGTACAAAAAAATGAACGAAACACAAATATGTATAACAAAGCAACAAACGGCAACCACTGAATTACAGGCTCCTGACTTGGGACAAGCACATACATACAGAATGTGGCGGGGTTAAACATGTTAGCGGGATCCCAATCCTCCCCCTAATCTGGGACAGCGGTGTAACAGTACAACAACATGTTTGT